TTATGTAATATTTAAAAACAAAAAAAAATCCAAGAAACACATCTTTTACTCTTCATCAACTTATACCAAAGCCCTTAGAGTTGTTTAAAAATTTATGATAATATATATAGGAGTTCATTTAGATTCCTTATTTTTTTTTAATCAAATTGTTTTTTAATAAGATTATGAAACAAAATGATGCAATAGTATTTTTTTTAAATTGAGGACAATTAAAAATACAAATTCAATGTACATTAATCAAATAAAATTAGTGTCACTTTTTCAACTCTAAGATGGCAAGCAGTTTCAATAATCACCATCACTTTCTTATTAAGAAAATATATTTTCCTAACTTCTAGTTGATGTGACCATTTTAATGGCCATCTCATTTACAATCATGAGAAGTAATGGAGAGTTGGTGATATCATTATCAATGCTTCTTTTTTTTTTTTCAACTCCCTCAATTTTGATGCATCTATCGGAACCTACTAGAAAATCAATAATCAATGAAAACTAATAAAATTATTAATGAAATCTTTTTTATTAGTAATTTTTACCAACATAAATAATTTCATTTTTAATATTAACAAAAAAAATTTATTAATAATTCTATTAGTATATACCAACAAACTATTTATGTCGACAAAACGGTGAGTATATACCGATGAACATATTTCATTGGTATATACCAACTATATCACCAATAAATTATATAATTTTTTGAAAAGTTGCAACGGTATAATAATGTGAATTTTTTTCAAACAATTTTACTGGTAGAATGATCGAGGGATTCAAATCGGGATCCTCATATAATAATATGGCACACTCACTAGCAAACTTACTAACGGGTAGACCAACAGAACGTTTCTGTCGATAATTCCATCGATAAAATCTAATATATACTCACTTTGTCAACTCTTTCTTTCTTTATTTCTCCTTCTTCTTTCTCATCCTAACTCTCCCCTTCCAAACTGCAGTCAATCACCCATCCTGACTCTCCTCTTATTTTCAACATAAACACTCAAGTTTCTTATATTTTTGTACATGGTCATAATAATGGCAGAGCCAGAGTTTTTTTTTATGAGAGGGCAAATTAATAATAAATACTATGACTTTTCAATATGATTTTATTTTTAACTTGATTGAGTTACATGACTTAAAGAAACTTTAAATGACTATTTATTCTTAAGAGATTTACACTTAAAATACCTTTATAGTGATGTGTTAATTTAATTGATAAACTTGGTGATTTTTTTATCATTAGTGTTTGCATAATAATTAACACAATTACACAATAATAAAGTCAGTTGAGTTATATAATAATTATAAATTTTTCATATAATATTCATAGCAAAATAAACATCAATTCATCAAAACTCATTTCAATATATATATATATTACATTATACTTAATCATTTCTAGACACACACACAAATTGTATGAACTCACTAAGTCAAATATGTGAAATAAGTTTTAATACTATACTCTAGTTTCAAATAAAAGAAAATATTGAGATAGAGAAACTTATGGGATTTTCAAATAAAAGAAAATATTGAGATAGAGTAACTTATGGGATTTAAACTCATGCCCTTTTCTAACTCCAAGCATCTCATTAATAATTAATTACAAATAAATTTATGATATAAAATGACAATTAATATACGTAAATTATAAATTAAGAGATCTCAATTAAATAATTAATCCATAATTATAGTGAATTAAGAGACCTTAGTTAAATAATTTCAATAATCTACTTTGTCAATACAAGAGATATGAATAATAGTGGTTTTGCATGAACATTAATTAATTTATTTATAATAAAAAAAATATTTAATTGATTAAATTAAGAAATTCAAATATTTATTTTGAACATATTTGAATGCATTCATATCAAAACCCCTAAATTATCATAAATCCTAATATTTTTAATAACTAATTATAAAAAAATAAAACTAAAATTAAATAATAAAATAAATATAAAAAATATAAAATTTCTTACCTAAAGCATAAAGTGAAAAAAAATATTACTTGCTTATCTGTACTTGAAAAGAAATTTGCATAAGAGAAAAAGGTAGCAACCACAATTCAAAAGGAAAAAGGGCTCCCTGTTAATTAGTAAAAAAAACAAAAAAAAGGAAAAAATATAAGTAAATGAGCTGGAAATATATATTATATATTATATTAAAATATAATTAAACAATAACTTTCCACTTTCTATGTGTCAAACTAAATACTAAAACAATAAAACGATCCTAGAAAAAATTTGAAAAAAATGAAAAGTTGTTTAAAAACTCTTTGAATCCCATCCAAACTTAAACAGAAAAAATAAAAGAACGCAAAGGAATAAAAAAAATTAAAATGGATCGGTTTTTTTTTTTGGTTGGATCTTGACTCATGTATTCTTGTTTTTTTTTTTAATTTCATTTGACCTTTCTACCATTAATACGAGTTAAGAAAATCTTGGATATTTTATCTAAAAACATTAAAATAGATTTAAAATCATGGATATTTTCCTGCGGGGTCGTGGACCAGTTCACCGGCCACCAAGAAGAAGCTGCATTTCTCGTTCTGAAAGGGTCGTGCAGGCCTGCCAAGAATCATCAGATCAGGATTTTAAATGTTAACATTCTCATTTCTGGGATGACAAGAACAGTTTAAAATTTAGCAATATTCTCTCTCTCTCTGACAGTAGAACAATATCACAGTACTCACAATTCTAGCTAAATGTTCACAATATTCTCATTTCCAGTGTTGTTGAAATACAAAGATTTTATTCCTTGCCCATCAGCTCGATGACGGGCAGATCTTTCCGTGTTGACAAGTTCTTACTGTCCATCTTCCATCAAGAACAAGGAAAAAAAAACAATTCTTCTTGTATTCTTGTTTTGTTTTTCCTCTTGCAACTCAGGGAAGTCTCGTACTTTGTCACAAACTAGAAAAATAAGAAAGGATATTATCATAAACATAATAATACAATTAACGAGAAGGATTCACGATAGCTGATATTAATTAATTTAGAAATAGGTAAAGAGTAAATGAACATGAATATTTAATAATATTATTGCAACTTGTTTTCTTTTTCCTTAACAATTAATAACTAATGTAAACCCCCCCCCCCAAAAAAAAAAAAAAAAAAAAAACAATATCAACGTTGGGCATTAAATTAAACAGAGCACAAACGTGTCTGGGGTTCTTTTAGTTGAAAGGGTTCATGCACCATCTGCCAGCCAACAAAGGAATGCCGCCTTCTCATTCCGGATGGGTCGGGGTCGTGCAGGCTGGCTAAGAATCAAGAAACCAGAATTTTAAACCCTACAATATTTTTAATGTAATGTTCTCCTCCTGCTGAGTGGATCAATATCAGATTTACAAGAGTTTTTCTAATATTGTTGCAATGCAAGAGGATTTTATTCCTGTACAGTTAATACGTCAGCAAAAGCAAGGTACAACTATTCATATATATCAACCCTACAAGAGATCGTGCAATGGCCGGCGACAAATCTCAAAAATATTGAGCAAGTAGTATGGAAATACTCATCATGAACCTTCCTCTGATATTTCTTCAAAGAATGCTAATTTTACGCGTGCAATAAAGCGTAAAGATCGCCGGATTCTGAGGTGGCTGGAACTCTGGGATAGGACATTAATGACTTTGGTTTTTCCTCATTACTCACTCGGTGATCATGATCAGTTTCAAGTTAAATATATTGACCACTACAATACAATATAGTAATGTTTTATAAGTTCTTATAGGAGAAAATGGAGATCTTTTCGTTTTGGAAAAATATGCAGAGACGACATAAAGCATAACACACCAAGGCAGAATTACATTTTGATCCATAATTTCTTACAATTGAGTGAACTTCTGTTAGTATTTTTTTTTTCCCCGCCTCGTGGCTCTGCAATATGCATAATGTGGTTGTGAAAGTAAATTTGTTGGAAACTTTGGAAACTACAAACATGATGCTATCATTAATGTCTGACTTGGAAACTATGCAGAACCATACTGGTTAACAATTACTCAGCTGCTCTTATGGAGGAAATAGTTACTCTATACCTAACTAGCAGATCTCTATGAGTTCAGGTCCTGAGAACAAGCAACCTAGAAGACAGAAGGTTACAACTGCATCACCAATCCCAATTCAGTGTTACAGTCTGCAGGATCAGCAGCACCATGTATATTCCTTTAGCAGTCCATAGATCGCATGACGTAAAGTTAGAACATTCAAACAAGCTCCCTGGAAATCAAACTGTATATCAAGGAAATCCTGTTTGTATTTGTTGACAGATTGATATGATGGTTAATAGTTGATTAATATTAGGTTCTCACAAAATAGTTCTGAGTTCAAGGGACACTTGGTAAGTTTTGAGGACTGGTGGAGGAGACAAAGAATCCAGTAAACTGATATATTGTCTGGTTCCAGGTAGTTTTGAGGATGTCAAGTCTCATCTCTTCACGACCTTTCGGTGCCGTCCTTATATCCATGTCCTTTTCATTCTGTTCAACAATTTTTTTTTTGGTGTTATCATATTCAACAAGAACCTCCCACGTCTATCTATTTCCAGGTGTGATTCTCTTTATTATTCTCTTTATTCACCCTCTACCACATCTCATTTCTCTCAACCTGCAGCCTAAAATAATTGAACAGTTACCCTAACAGAAACACAGTTAAGTCCCTTAAACTAAACTATTTCTTTAGAGGCTTACAATCATTCCCTTCATGTGTCTTTTAAGTTTAAGACTAAGGCGTTAATGAAAGGTTGCTGAATAAATTTAGTTCCATAATTGCTTGATTTGGGTCCTATAGGTGAGGTGTACTTGGCCCCCATTACGAAATGGTCCCGATTGGTTACAAGGAATTGAGACCCTTTCATATGTTAATAATTGCAAATAATAATAATAAATTCAGATGTTGTTACACAAGTGAAGTCAATGTTTGTCTCAACATTCTTCATTGCTGCTGGGTATAAATATGTCTTTTTAATCCCTGTTTCCTTTCAAGCATCGTCTAATCGATCTTCTGCCGGCAGTTCACTCACAAAAACACTACAGATTTCTCTGATAGGTTACAAAAAATAAACGAGAAAAAAAGATGGAGCCTATTGGAGCCACTGCGGAGGGAGAGTGGAGTTCTCTTAGTGGAATGTACACAAGTGAGGAGGCTGATTTCATGGAACAGTTGCTTGTCAACTGTCCTCCTAATCAGGTTGCTTCAAGTTCAAGCTTTGGAGTTCAATCTAGTTTTTGGCCTAACCATGAACCAACAATGAACATGGAAGGGGCCAATGAATGTTTATTGTATTCTTTGGGTATTGCTGATACTAATCTGTACCCATTTTCACAAGTGAGCAGTGGTTATAGTGGTGGTGGTAGCATTCTTTTTCCCAACTCAAGTGGAGAAAGCTACTACCTGATTGATTCTCACCCAGTTTTGGCAGACACTAATAGTTCCATGTCAATGGATTTTTGCATGGGAGACTCGTATGTTGTTGATGGCGATGACTTCTCAAACCAAGAATTGAGCAATGGAAATGTGGAAGAGTCTGGTGGAAACCAGACTGTAGCTGCTCTTCCTGAACCTGAAAGCAGTTTGCAACCCAAGAGAGAATCAAAGATGCCAGCATCTGAACTACCCCTGGAAGATAAAAGCAGAAAGCCACCTGAGAATTCCAAGAAAAGATCACGGCGTACGGGAGATGTAAGTACAGTAACCAGCATTTTCACCTTCTTAGAATTTGCTACAGACTCAATGGATGGAGTTCTATTTCCTGTTGTAGAGGGTATAGCAACCAGTTTTACTTTTTCAAGGCACAGTCTAATTATGATTCTAATGAGTAGGCCCAAAAGAACAAGAGGAATGTAAGGTCAAAGAAGAGCCAGAAGGTTGCCTCGACTAGCAACAATGATGAAGAAAGCAATGGTGGCCTTAATGGTCCTGTCTCAAGCGGTTGCTGCTCAGAGGATGAATCCAATGCCTCCCAGGAGCTCAATGGAGGAGCGAGTTCAAGTTTGAGCTCAAAAGGGACAACAACTCTCAACTCAAGAGGCAAAACAAGAGCCAGTAAGGGGGCAGCCACTGATCCCCAGAGCCTCTATGCAAGGGTAACTACCCTTTTCAAAGTTTTTGCACAGTATTTCGATGAACCAGATTTGATGAAACATTTTTCTTCCACCCACCCACAATGTAACAGGAATTGATAGATCTTTTTATTTTCTTATTGCAGAAAAGAAGAGAGAGAATAAATGAGAGGCTGAGAATTCTACAAAACCTTGTCCCCAATGGAACAAAGGTATATATGGAGTATATTTCACGATAACATCTCTGATTCTATCAGCTATAAATTTTGTGATTCGCAAAATTCTCAAGATTGATTTATTGATATGGAAGGTTGACATTAGCACAATGCTTGAAGAGGCTGTCCAGTATGTGAAGTTTTTGCAACTCCAAATTAAGGTAAGAAAACATTAAATTCCTTCTTTATACTTATCGTTGCCTGTTTTAAACTTGGCAATATTTTGACATGAAACAAATTTTTTGATACATTTTTTTTCCCATTTTCTTGTTTTAAATTCTGCAGCTGCTAAGCTCTGAAGACCTGTGGATGTATGCTCCTATCGCGTACAATGGTATGGACATCGGTCTTGATCATCTGAAGCTTACCACACCAAGACGATAGTAGATGTTAAGAGGAGGGTGGTGATTTTTTTATTATTTCTGTCAATAGCATATGTGATGAGATTAAAATATAGTCATTGCCAATTTGTAATGGTTTTATACTGTACGAGTATAGATAGGATTTCGCTTATAAAATTAATCCACGAGTAATCATCGTGAGAAATTCTTTCATGTAGACACCTTGACATGGTGAACACTATCCGAGCAGAGTTTTTATTCTTGAATATAAAAAAGTGTCCATAAGAACGCACATGAACTTGCCTATAGAACAGTCATTCTCAGTTGGTGGCTTAGCTTTTTAATATTAAAATCTAAGAATTTGTTGATCTGTACTGGCATATGATTTTCACCGATATCAACTGATGATTTTTTCTACCTTGAGGATGACATTTTTTTACATATTAATGCCCTAAGGATTGCATCTAATGAAGGAGGAAGGTGCATTCTTTTCCAAACAACCAAAATGAATTTCCTAGGAAAATCTGCTGGAAAGAAAATCAATGATCAACTTTCGACCCAAAGATTTTTCAAATTCTCTGAGATTTATCCAAATTAATGCGAGGGAGTTTTGATGAGGTACCCACACACCGAAGTCCATAGGCTTATGGCTACCTCTTTCAGGCCGAATTAAGAAGCTGTAGAGCAGACCATTCACGGCGTGCCTCCTGAGGCTTCCAACGAACAGAAACGGAGAAATCTTGCACTTCACTGACCATCCATAACAGATCTCGCTACTTCCAAACCACTGCTTATTTTTCATGGTTTCTTCTTACGCATATGATTTCCTACTTGCACCATGCCTTTGAATTTGTTAAGTCCTGGACGATGCTAGGTTATCCTTTGGGATGATCAGAAAGTAAGCAAAAATAAAGGGAAGGAGAAAAGATAATGAACAGACAGAGAACATCAAGGGGCTATGGCAGCTTCACCTGGCAGCAATTTTGGAAAAGGCCAGGGTATTTGCAATACAAATTTGATCATCCGTACAAACAAAAACATCAACTCTCCTTGAATTAGTATATAACGGCTAAAAGAAGGTCAACCTGTCTAAAAGGGATGGATCAGTTACAGAATTAAAATAGATTAAGTGACAAATTTAGGGACGGGAACGAATATTCTTGGACGTTACAGCCAAATCCCCTCCTGTCTACCCCAAATCCAATCTCTACTTCAAGTGTAAGATTTTACAGTCCTAATAAACGAAGCACAATTTCTAATCTGCACTCTTATCGTCCATGTACATAAATTCACGCGGAAAAATGGATAAAGAAGAGCAACAGTAGAACCGCATCAACACTGCTGTTACCAGCAACAAAAGAGTGTTAATGATTGGGCGTTTTTTTCTTCATGCCCGCTCCTCATGGACATGGTTTGGAACTTCTGCTTGACTGTCCAGAGGCATGTACTGTGCCATGATAGCTCTTATCTCTGAGTCCATGTATGACTGCAAAAAAAAAAAAAACAAGAACAAATCAAGGAAAAAACATCAAATGAATATGCATTAACGGCAACACAGGTATAACAATGACATGCATAAGAGTTTCAAGATGACATGTTGCAAAGAGCAATCCAGATACTCAGTTTGATGCCCAACTCTCATTGATCCGGCTACTTGAAGTTTTCTAACCAACACGTAAACCAAAAACCTGGCCAGCCCATATGCAGCTCTCTAGCCCCATTGTAATAGCAATTAATATTAAATTCACAAGTGGTTAGCATAGTTACCATACTGTACTTTCAGCCATTTTTTAAAGGTTGGATGACCAAAAACTACCTGAACTTAGCCTCTGAATTATTATTTTTTTTATTCGAGTACCATGCACTATTTTTGGTAAGAAATAGCCTCTGTCTAGGTTTTATGTCCCTCCATTATTTCAAAAAAAAAAATAATCAAACACATGTTTTCACGACACATCATTTTTTTAAGCTATTAACTAGGGTCAAAATTGATGAAATGGCCTATTTTTACCAAAAAACTGGTTCAAAGTACTCAATAAAAAAAAATTAAAGTTCAAGAGCTAAGTTTAGCTTGACCCAAAGTTCAGGGTAATTTTTGGTCATTTAGCCTTTTTTAAAATGTTCCAGCTATGCAAACATTGATGCAAGTTGTACACAAATGAGGCATCAACTGCTTAACAAGAGATACAAAAGGCAGTACTAGATGGCCCAAGTTCAGGGTAAGAAACTTTGCGGATAATCATATTCTTCATCTTTGCATTAATAGATATCACTCAAAAGTTGCAAAGAGATTTTTACTATAGAGATAACTCTTCATCTTTGCATTAATAGATATCCCTCAAAAGTTGCAAAGAGATTTTTACTATAGAGATAACACGGCTATTCCAAACGTTCATATAACAGACAGGTGTCTGGAATGAGCAAGAAAACATGGCAAAACTTAAGCAAAGGTATGGTTTTAAAAGGGAAACAAGCTGGGCACCATGCTTACCCTCAATTTATGTTTGTAGACAAGATATCCTCCACCAGCAGCCATCGCCAGGCCTATAAATATGACCCAAACCACAGTCCATGCTGATTTCACTTCAGTGCCGCTCTTACCTGGTATTGATCATGGGGAGGACAGACATCAAAACAAGGACCATATTATTGCAAGTTTCTAAACAAACAAACAAGGAGGTACGATTTCTAACTCACTTATGCAGGTATCATGGTCTCTGATATAAAGAAGATCCCCACTACAAGAGCATTCATAGCTTCCCCAAGTATTTTTACAACTACATGCAGGGCACTGACAGGCTTTTCTCTCTTTGCACTCATCAACATCTGCACAATCAAAGATAAGTAGAGAGGACAAAATATTAATCAGGAGCATCGGCAAACATGCAGTTTTCTCTGGCAGGATTTTGTTTTCAACAAAGTCAAGGAGGAAACCCAAAACTATTTTGACTTGGCAAGAGTTGGATACTCAGAAAATTGTTATGCAATTCAGTATAATCGGAGCATCTTGGTGGCCCAAGCATAAATAAGTTCAAAATTTAAACATTTGCTTTATCCTACAATGGTGATTCATAAGCATTACCCCATTGCTTGGGGTAGCATTGAAGAAATAACTTAATACAAGGGATTTAGACAACTGCTGTTAGATTTGAACTGAGTGGAATGGTGCCTGAGAAATCATGCATGAATCAACAAGAAGCACCTAGTGAGGATGAGTACTGGGAAGAGAAAAAAGGCTCCCCACCCCCACACCCCCCCTTGCAAATTATTAAAACATTCAATAAAAATCCCTAACTTCAAAGCAGTGCGATGAGAGTCAACAGGCATAACCCAAGTGCCCGTTGAAGGATGAGACAATGACTTGGTCTTTTGGCATATGGCTGTACGTTCTCAAAGCCTAACAAGTATGCAATATTTCAACCAAACATTGCCTGTTGTTCTGTTTGCAACTTACACCTCAGGCACCATAACATTCTCAGAAGACTCAATTTGCATGCATAATCCTTAAATTTCCTTTCAGAATGAATCAAGCTCCCCATCCCGATAAAACCACAATACCAAGGATGACAATGGAGAAATCTCTTACCTACACAACTTTTCACACCATCACCTTTAAATCCTGGAGGACAATGGCATTTACCACCATCAACATCCTGTCCACATTAAAATTAGAAACTGGAACTCAATATATTTACTGGAGAATAACAAGTTGAGAAACATGATGTTCACTAACCAAACAAGCAGATAAGGTATGTCCGTCCCGGGATTCATGCCAACAGCCCCCATTGTTAATTTTGCACCTCCCAGATCCACTCACTGTAAAAAAATACAATCACTTTAAAGCATAGCACAATTTAAGATTGGTAAGCGAGCATATCAAACAGATTTAATTAGAAAATAACACAAGTTGCCCCTTATGACATGTGCAAACACATCTAATACTAACATCTGAGAGTCAAACATCAAACATGAACCTCAAAACATATAGTTAACATGGAGCACATGCTTAACAGAGCATGATCCATCTAACCTTGGGACAGAATACACCAAGTGTAATGCTAGTTAGCTTAGGCAGTAAATCTATTGGTGTTGGGTCCAGAACCTAGGCTCAAATCCTACTAACAAAGTTATTTGCGAGGGATGGCTAAAACAGCTATTTGAAACCATGCTCCCCCAACCCACCCCACTACTCCTCAAAAAAATGAAATAGAAGAAAACCAGTCACTATTATTTGATTCCAGTTGACTAGGATTGGAACTTTCCTGCCTAGTCTACCCAACTTTCACCCAAAAACCCTCAAACAACATGGGCTGTCTCTCAAGTATACATCAGATCCATGTATCATCAATGGAACTAGATTTTCATTTTGGAAATTTTGCAATCTACTGAATATGAATATAGTTAGTAATGCGAGTATTTTTTTCTAATAAAAGCCCATAATTGTCCATAAATAACTTTTTTCAGACATTTATTTATCATCAGGACATCCAAGCTTTATTGAATGAATGAACAGCTATATTATTACATTTTACATGTTTATGCTGATTTATAAAAAGGAAAAAAAAAGGCATAGAGCTTACCTTCACAGTTCTTGTAACCATCTCCTTTGAACTGCACGCCATCAACAAGAGGACACTCACATACTCTCCCACGAAACGTGTCCTGCACAGATAAAAACGGTTGTCAAACAGAGCTAAATATATCAAAAGCCAGAGTGATACCTTGCAGCAAGTTTTAATTCATCCCCTGCAGGCTGTAATGTTGGCTATTTTATCTTGCCAGCAACCCCCGTTATTGTCCAAGCACTCATTTGTCTCCACATCTGTATCAAAGGAATTCCCCAATCAGGAACTATTGTTGAGTGTAGGCAAATCAGCCAAGGCAGCTGGCACTAGATGTTAGTCTCAACAACAAGGGTATTGGACTCATGATCTAAAATGAAATACGGTTCTAGGTCTAGCATGCTTTCAGTGACTACTCACAATAGCAAGCACTCAAATCTTCTTAGTCGGGGTCATTCATCAAATGATTGCCTCAATATCAAGGCAATCAGGACAAATAGCTTAAGAAAACCTACCACCACTCAAACAAACAGCAGGCTCTGTTGTTTCCTCGAAACCAGAGCATAGAGCCTTTAGAACAGCACCTTTCTCCAACTTTCCTGAAAGAGCAAGTTTTTTGTTTTCAAAAATAAATAAATAGCCAAATGTAACGTTCATCCAGGAATACAAGTAGGCAATTACAGA